AGCATCTCATTAAACTATGACAAACCAAAATGCTATGTGGGAGCATTTTGGGATTCTCATTTCAGAGGAAAGGGGGGAAAAATGCTTGTCTCCATCTTCACCTTACAATCACTTCACAAACATGTCAAAAACAAACTATGTCATATCCATGTTGGCTGTAGATGGTAGAAGTCATTACTTGGTTTTGCTTATCTATCCATAGCTCACTATACCCCCAAAATGATGAAATGCAACATCTTCTACATATGCATCTAGCAAACAAGTCATAAAGAGGTATTAGATGCTAATCAGGGGCATAGCTATTGTAACATGGATATAAAAGCTGATAAAAATAAAATATCCAGTATAAAGACGACGACACCATCACCCAGTGTGCTGTGAAAAGTGAGCCAACATTTACAGAACAAAGACTGGCCGAAAGCACAATGAGACACCTACCACAACTACAGTTCAATCTATAATAATGAAAGCATAATATGCTAATTAGACTGGGCATCCTTCCAGAAGACCCTCCGGAGAAAGCTGGAGGGAGCTGTATGGGAAGCCAGGGTCCCAGGTGCCAGACGAAAGCTGGTCCAAGGAGCCGGGGGAAGGAAGGCCTACTCTTGCATGAATTTCGTGCATCGGGCCTCTAGTTTAAGATAAAAGAACAGTATTAAAAAATATTAAGATATAAGATATAAGAGGTGTGGACATTGGGGTTCAATTCTTATATCCTCCCATTTCTCTATCTTTCACATCTATCACCTTTGAACCACAAAAATGTGTTAAGTTAAAATACATGCATACGAAAAGGAAGACAAAACATGCTGAGAAATATGAAAAACTCTTTCATAATGATGTGCGTATATATATATGGTCACGGTAAGCTGCTGGAAGTGAAATTCATGGACCATCAAGCAATTCCATAGACATTTTCACTTTTTTTTTTTTTTTGCACAGAGGGCTGTGATCAATCTGTGAGACAGTTCCCCTTTTTGGTAGATAATACATGGTACCTCAGTGTAGTTGAAGGTGCATTTTGGTATGAAAGTGCTTATTTACACTGAAGATATTTATCTTCCTCATTAAGACCCCCATCTCTTTTTCTATTATTATTACTTTTTTGTTTAGAAAGATACTGTCATCACTTTTAATTGCACCCTTCTGTGATATAAATCAAAAGCATTTTCCAAGTTTGTTAACTGACTTCTGATTTCAGGTAAATTTTTGTAAGGCAGACATTTTTAAATTGTATGTTCTTATAATTACTACTCATTCTGTGCTTACTTTGTCTGTGGATGTGTATTTCCGGCATCTCTTCTTCCCACTGGTTCAGGTGTTTTGTCATTCTGACACTTCCACATAGAGAATATTTGTTATTGATTTAGACACTTAGGAATAAAACTTTCCAATGTGCTTCTTTCTTAAAGATGAATTTTAGGATCATGTTGTCAGTGATATTCGATTTTCGTTAAATAAGGAAAGTTTTCTTGGATCAAACTGAAAGCATGAATTAATTGCGGAGAATATACATCTTAATGACAGCAAGTCTTTGATCCACAAACATCATGGACGTTTTCATTTCTTAGTCTTGAAATTGTTTTCACCGTATGTTTTGAAATTTGCAGTGTAGCAATTTTACCAATATTCTGTCGAATGTTATCCTTATATTTAATTATTCATAAGTGATATTAACTTTAAATATTCATAAATGACAATCATTTTTTAATATTCCTTTTTTAATGCTTTGTTTTTAATATAAAGAACATGCATTTGTGTATTAGTTCTAGTGGCTCTTTTTGGTGGAGTTCTTAAAGGCTTTCTAAGTTACAAATTTATATTTTACTTTCCTTATACAACTCATTTTCCTCCTTGCCTCAGTGAATTCAATATCACCTGCATTTCATATTTTATTATTAGGAAATACTCTTCATTATTCTCTGGTGTTTCTCTTTGGAATTTCATTTCATTTAATACTAGTGTCCTGGTGCACGGACTTGGGCACATTGAAAGGAAATTAATTAAAAGGTGGCCAGAGGGGTGGGACTGGGCGAGAGGGTCTGGACACTCCCTGGAGGCAACTCACCACTGTCCCTCTGCAGCCAGCCGCATCGGAGGCAGCAGCTTGAAGGGTGTCTGTGGAGCGAGCAGGGTCCCTCTGGCAGTTGAGGTCCCTTGACCTGGCCTGCAGGTTTGGGCGGAAACTGGCTCTCTGACATTCCCCCAGGGGTCCCAGACTACAAGAGGGCAGTTCTTGGGTGACACACCCTGGAACGGGGCTCCCTCCTCTCTGGTTCTGGGGTGCATCACCCAAAAACTGCTGCTGCCACGTCATTGCAGCCCCCTGGTCGTCAGTGTGCATCATACCTACTGGCTGGTCGGACCATCAGATGGTCGCTTAGCCTTTTATATATATAGATTACCATTACCACTCACCTTATATAAACTTTGTTCATACAAGGTTTAAATTTTTCAATGTTTTGCTTTCAGGCAGTCACTTTTTTTTTTAATACTATTATTTTTAAAAAAATACATTTTATTGACTTTTCACAGAGAGGAAGGGAGAGAGATAGAGAGCTAGAAACATCGATGAGAGAAAGAGAGACATCAACTAGCTGCCTCCTGCACACCCCCTACTGGGGATGTGCCTGCAACTAAGGTACATGTCCTTGACTGGAATCGAATCTGGGACCTTTCAGTCTGCAAACTGACGCTTTATCCACTGAGCCAAACCGGTTTTGGCATCAGGCAGTCACTTTTAAAAAATATATACATTTATTGATTTCAGAGAGGAAGGGAGAGGAAAAGGAAGATAGAAACATCCATGATGAGAGAGAATCATGGATCGGCTGCCTCCTGCACACCCCACACTGGGGATCGATCTCAAAACCCAGGCATGGGCCCTGACCAGGAATTGAACCGTGACCTCCTGGTTCATAGGTCAATGCTCAAACATACGAGGTGGGCTCAACTAGTCATTTTTTAATACTTACATTGGTCTTTTGTGAAACGGCTCCTAACTGGGTTTTCTCTTTATTCAATTCTACTTCATCTTTTTTTCTTATTGGCTTGTCATTGTAATCTGATATCAATAATTACGATTAATGGATGCATTTATGCCATTTGCCAATAGCTTCTAATTTGTCCCATGTTTTTCTGGTAGTCTTTAGAATCCTCTGTTTTCTTTTACATCAGTCTATGCTTTTAGCATTACATTTTATACAATTTGTTGGTGATTAGATATCTTTTTAGTCGTTGGTCTAGGATTTATAATAATCCATTTTTGGCAATCAAATTGTAGTTGATTATTAATGGAAATGGAGGCGTCTTGCAAGCCCCTTTGGACTTTGATATCTACTGAGTGATCCATGAACTTCACTTCTGGCAGGTTACCCTGACCATATGCCCACAACATTATGAAAGAGTTCTTCATATTTCTTAGAATGGGTTGTCTTCCTTTTCAAATGTATTTATTTTAATTTAACATATTCTAGGGGCTCAAAGGTGATATATGTTAAAGACTGAGGAATGGGAGTATGTAAGAATTGAACCCAATGCCCACGTCTCTTATACCTGAATTGAACTGTATTTGTGATAGGTATTTCATTGATTCCTGCTAGTCTTTGATCTGTAACCATTGGCTCACTTTCATAGCACACTGGGTGAATGTGTTGTACATGTTCGTACTCGGTATTTTACCAGTTTTCCAATCTGTGTTACAATAGCTAGGTCCCTGATTGGAATCTAGTACCTCTTTATGACCTGTTTGAATTAGTGTATGTGCTAGATGGATATGCAGATGTTGCATTTCATCATTTTGGGAGTATAGTGAGCTACGGATAGATAGCAAATCTAAGTAATAACCTCTACCATCTATTGCCAACAGGGGAATGACACAGTTTGGTTTTTGATATGTTTGTGAAGTGATTTTAAGGTGAAGATGGAGACAAGCATTTTCCCCATTGTCTCTGAAATAAGAGTCTCAAAACGCCCCCACCAATCATGGAGAAAGCTGAGAACATTGGGAGGGTGATGGGGGGCAGCAGAGGGTAAGACATGGCATCTAATTTCCGGCCAGAGATGTTTCATGAACCGAACATACAGCACGTTGGTTTCTCACACTTTAATGAGATGCTTATGAGAAGTGACATCTCCCACCTGGCACTTAACACGAATTCTGATTAATGAATAAAAGTGAGTCACACCCAACCAGAAAAATAAATTGAGAAGAATTAGATTAATATTAAAACACTCTGAACGAAGGTGCAGATTTTAATGTGAAAACTGCCACGTAGCTCTCATTTCACCAACAAGTGGGAAACTCCATTTTCCCTTCTCGACATTGTACTCGGAATGGAGATCTTGGTGACTTGGGATAAAAGCCACGTCGACACTTAAATTCAGTATAATCGTTTGTTTGAGAATAAAGCTTTTTCTCATATGACCATTTAAACTCTATCTTATGTTCTTCCAGGATTTCTTCTGATATCACACATGCTTCTGAAGGTAAAAAAAGAAAAAAAAAGAACATAAAACTTTAGGTAGCATACAAACATTTTCCACAGAATTTTACACCTTCATGTAGAACCTTCTACGCAGATTGAGGAATTTATCCTCAAACCCTTCTGCAAACCACTGCATTGAAAATCCACTGTTGCTGTAACTCATTGTAAACTATCAGTGATGGAGAAGTGGGATACTCTGTGGAACGTTAAAATCAACATTCACAATGTCAATTATCCTTTGAAGGGCTTTCATTAAAGAACCCTTGAAGCAGATGGTGGAGGTGGAGAGGGAGGAGGGGGCATAAGAGGTGCTGGGGGAATACATTACAATAAAAACAAATGATAGTTTCTTGCTGCTGTTGCTCAAGAATTTTTCAGACATTATACCCTCAGCCATGACTATTTGGCGGTCAACAGAATAAATTTGGCGGTCACAGTCCTCTGTTGGAAGCAGCAGACATGGCATTCATTACACGGATGTCCCAGGGCCCAGGAGGATACTAAAGGACTTACCCAAGCATTTGGGTGGCTCAGACCACTCTCCATTGTGGCACGTTATTCTCCTGTTTCCATCAAGCACATAGTAGGCCTGGCACTGATACTCCACTGAGGACCCGGGAGCGTAGACTGCTAATGGATTCGAGATAATGTCTCCATTGTCAATAGCGGGAGGGCGCCCACATTTTCCGGAGGAATCTAAGAGAGGAGATGCTTTGATTTATTGGGTGAGCAGTGGATTTTAAGGGAGCTGCGGAGTAGCTACACTCACATCCTCCTGGCCCCAAACCCACTTACAGGAAATGATGGAGCAACAAACCTGAGTAACCAAGTGAGGGCCAGCTGGACAGGAGTACAGTGGCCAAGTGCTTACAGAAGCTGCTCAGAGAGAGTGGGGGATGGAGAGGGGGGGAATGAGGCACCCTACCCTTGCACTCAGGTGGGTCTGTCCAATTTCCGTTTAAGCATGTCACCACTTCATTCCCGAAGAGGCCCAGGAGGTGCCTGCATTGATAATGTGCGGTCTCCCCGTGTTGATACCTAGACTTCTTGTCTGGTACATAGGCATTTTGCACTGGGGGAGGGCTGCCACAGGAGAAATCTGAATAAAGAGGAAAAAATGGATCTCTAATGCAGCGATCATTTAGATGCAATTGAGACGGAAAGTCTCCATAAATTTACATGCAAGTTTGAAAAAAAAGATGAAGCAATTTTTTTTTTTGATAAGAGGCAATTTTCTACATCTTAAGTTTCTTTCCCATCCTCTCTCAAAGGTTAATAGAGATTTTTAGGCCAATGAAAATGATGATCATGCTGTGCAAAGCTTTTTAGTTTGATGTAGTCCTATTTGTTTATTTTTTTCTTTTGTTTTGCTTGCCTGCGGAGATATATCAGAAACAAATATTGCTGTGAGAAATGTCTAAGATTTTATGGCCCATTTTTTTTCCTCCTGGGGTTTTTATGGTTTATAACCTGACATTTACGTCTTTAATCCATTTTGAGTTTATTCTTGTGTAAGGTATAAGACAGGCGTCCAATATCACTCTTTTGCTTGCGTCTGTCCAATTATACGAGCAGCAATTATTAACCAGTGGCACCCCAATAAGTTCAATAAAAAGTTTAAAACATTTTTAAAAGTAACAAAAACCAAAAAACACAGGATGGTTTTTTTGAATATTTTTCTTTAAGTTTAGTAAAATAAATGTAGATGATATAACATCAAAGTGCATTTATAAACCCAAGAAACACATAACAAACATGCTATTTGGCAGCCACATGTGGTTCACAAGCATCATGTGTGAATTGTGACTTTAGGCCCGTAGAAAATGAGCACGGCAGCCAGGTTCTTCAGAGAATAAGAAGCTAAAGAAGATGATCACTTAAAATATCCAAACAGAAACTGAGGAAAAGGAAGAGTGCAATCTATTTACAGTTCCCTAGACACACTCCGATGGCTTGAGTGCCTAATGGCACTGCAGAGAGCGCTGTGCGACTCATCGGGGAGATTCGGGGGATGCAAAGCAATAAGAGGCTGAAGCTACGGTTCCCAACCAAAGAGGGCATAGAACCCGCTGGGAATTGCTACGTTTTCGGGGTCACAACCCCTGAGCTTCTGAAGCTGAGGCTGAGCGAGCCTGTGAGTTTGCATTTGACTTTCTATCCATTCCCCCAGATGCTGACACGGCTGTTTCAGGGGTCACACTCTGACAGGGCTCGGGGGCTCCAATGCCCACCATTGATACACATCCCATTCCTCCATGTTGAGGCATAAACCTTCCTTCATCTGGCCTACACCGGATCCGATGTCTATTTTTTTAAAAAATATATATTTTATACAAAGTGGAAGAGAGAGGGATAGAGAGAAACATCAGTGAGAGAGAAACATCGATCAGTTGCCTCTTGCGCACCCCCTACTGGGGATGTGCCCGTAACCAAGGTACATGCCCTTGGCCGGAATCGAATCTGGGACCCTTGAGTCCACAGGCCAACACTCAATCCACTGAACCAAACCAGTTTTGGCCCGATGTCTATTTTTAATGGTGCTAGAAGCCATTCACCAAAATACCTTTGCATGTGGGTGTTCCGATCCAAATGCCTTCCTTACACTGTATAGTACCGGATCCTTCCATTTGGTAATAGCCTGAACAGCTATAAGACAATTGTGCTCCTGACTTGTATGAGTTCCTCGGCCAGCCTACGAGGATGGCATTATCAAAGTTGGGTGGTCTAGAACAAGTATTTCCTGTAAAAGCAACAACAGAGACTTTTCAGTAAATCTTAAAAAGTACAAATCAGGCAATAATTATACTCTAGAATAATAGACACACACCAAACCAATGCCTACTGTACAATGTTTTTCCTATAACTTGAAAATGTGAGCCATCTTGATTCAAGTACATTGAATAATTTTACATTTATCAAAAGTGCAACGATGGTGGTATTGAAAGCCTGAGGAGATGGGCATACAGGTCATGACTGAGACCAAACTTCTTACATCCAAATTCTTATTTGTCCACTCAGGCCACCGACACTATGTGCACATTTCCATTTTTTGCTTCTGCCCAAATCGTTTCCCATAATTGCATCAAACATCTTTAATTAACTATATTTTTATTGATTTCATAGAGGAAGGGAGAGGAATTAAGAGACGGGAACATCAGTGATCAGAGGGAATTATTGATGAGTTGCCTCCTGGTGGATCCCCAGTGGGGATTGCACCCGGGCATGTTGTCTGACCAGGAATGGAATCCTGACCTCCTGGTCGATGCTCAACCACCGAGCCACGTGGGCCTGGCTACATCAACCATCTGAGAGCATTATGGACTTATGAGGAGATAACTGATAAACTCTCAGTGAATTGAATATTGATGAGGTTGGTGAGCAGGGACCAGCCGTGACACAGGAAGAGATGAGAAGTCAGAGGATGCCCATCAGAGCACGTGGACAGTGAACATGGATGACATCAAATGAAATAATTTGGCTCCTGTTGCCAAACTTCTCATATGACTATTAATTCTTCTATTAATTCTCTAGCAGAATTCAGAACTTTTAGAGAGACCTTCTAGAATTAATATAGTTTTGTAGTTGTACCATGGACGCCCTGAACTAAAGATATTCATTAGCATTAGAAGAAAATGAAATACACTATACTTATGCATTCTGGTGGGTGGGACCAATTTCCTCCTGAGCAATCAATAGCTGCAGGCCCACGGACCCGAAATCCGGGTTTACAGGTGTACGTGTATTGTTCCCCATGTGGATAACTGCTTAACATGGAAGGTGGATTAGCATTGGAAATTGCAGGGGGTGGCCCACAAGGAAGTCCTAAAAAAAAGAAAGAAAGGAAAGAAAGAATGACTGTATTTCACTACCTCTGAACTTCATTTCATGTCATATTTGGTACTTTCATTTGAAATCAAATGATCACACGGACGCTGATATCACATGACAGAAAAGGCGCACAAATGCTTCTAGAATCATCAAGATGGCTGTCCAGCTGTCAATTTGAGCAAGAACTTGAATGAAAACTGTGAAACATCTGAGAATGAGGGTGTCAATGCTTCTCTAACCAATATGAGCAATAAAAAGGAACACATTGAGAATCATCTTAAGAAAAGTATCCTCTACTGTAAGAGATCAGAAGGGACAATGAAGGGAGAACATAAATCTTTATGAAACTGGCAACAAAGCCTTCATTGAAACCCATATGACTATGCAGGAATATGAACAGGTACACTTATTTGAAGATAGGTTTCATTTAATCACATTTCAGGTTTTGTAGGGAAAAAATACCCGAAATACAAGTGATTTCATAAGGAGCCAATAAAATTAATAAAAACAGGCTTGATTTGTTTATGTAAAAATCCTTTGGTAAACATTAAAACCTATATAAATGATATGTAATGGTTTTATACTTTTATAATTCTAAAGAGTTCTTTCTCATGACTTTGATGACGACGATGGGTTATCTTACTGACCTGTACCAAAACAGAACGTTAGTTTGCATGCTGTCCTTACCTACACACTGTGGGGAAGCACTCCATTTCCCCAGGTGGCATGTTATCCCATCTTCTTGAGATAATTTGAAACCATCCTTACAAATATAACTTAATGTGGTGCCATGCTCATATATGGGTTCCAGTGTTTCTCCTCCGTCTTCTGAAGATCTGGATGACTTAATGCTTCCATGTTTTACATGAGGTGGTGGAGGACATGGAGTTTTTTCTATATGAAAGATAGAGGTGGAAAGGTCAAGCACAAGGATAATGTTTACATTGAAAAATAAAATCCAACAATGCTTGGGACTTTCAAGTAAGGTCAATGAAACAAGTTAAATTATTAATAACTAAAAATATTTGAAGCTTGCAAAGATATATGTGTCCACAAAGTTGATGCTACTATCCATTTGTCCCATATGCCTCTTCAGTGTCCTGCTGTTCTTCTTGAAAAGTGAAATACGCATAGACAGAACTTTGGTATTTCCACAGTCACCGGAAGTTTCGTTCCCATTACAAGTGAGATAATGCTGATGGGTTTCTGCACCTGGATGGTATGTACTGTTTGGAGATGAAGTGGAATGGATAGGGGAGAGGGGCTCATTTTGTTCCTTTACAAAAAACTGGGGTGGGGGGGTTGGAGGCAAGGGGTTACCCTCATTGGAAAGACATTTCTATTGTTATCGACCCACTACTGACCGACACAGCGCGGTATCGACTGCCATCGTCCATCCTGGCACACCATTTCCTCTCCTTCCTGGATCAGAAAGTTTTCTTGACAGAGGATAGATATTTTTTCTCCTTCTTGATAATTCACGGTCAGGGTCATATTTTGAGAATTGGGGATCTGGGGTGGAGGTGGACATCGTGGTGCTTCTAAAAATATTAACATCAGATTTCTTGATGAAAAATCATGTGTCAAAATATGAAGATAATAACGCAGTGAACAGAATGATCAATAATAATGCAGATGGAGAGATCAAACTATAATGCTTCGTTCTGTGTTTCAATTGGTTATCTTTCCATCTTGTTTGTCACTCTAACTTGTCTCTTTGTGTCTATATTCCCATGGCCTTCCCTGTAGGTTCTGTCCTTTATTCCTCCTGTTATCACCCTTGGGTAGATTATATAAAACTAGAGGCCTAGTGCACAAATTTGTTCACCGGTGCCATCCAGCCAGCCCACCCGGATCAGGCTGGCTGGGGTGGAGGGGCCGCGGGCGGTTGGCCCGCTGGTCTCACATCCTGGTTGAACTCCGGTTGAGGGGACCATTCGCATATTAGCCTTGTATTATATAGGATACTTTCTGTATATTCTAGGCCTGAGGAAATTGGTAAAAATATTGAGGATAGTGGGTCAAGGTGCCCTCCAGTTCAAGAAGATCAATACAGATATGAAAAGTGGAATGAACCCAATGTTACTGGGATTGATGGTGGCAATAAGACTCAGTGCTTGCCAGACAGATATATGTGAGCAAAGACATATGCTTAGATGGGTAGATTCCTACAGCGATTGGTGGATGCAGACATAGATGGATGTGTACATAGATGTGTACACCCATAGGTGCTTAGATAAATACACAGGTTACAGGCATAGGCACATCTGAAGGTAAGAACTCGGTAGCAATGGGATTCCAATATTAACGAGCACACCCACTGCCCATGTGACTGTACTGCTGGGTGGTGTGTTGATAGCTGACCGAGGCACATAATACAATTCATACTCAGGGACAGTGTTTTGGTTAGTTTCTAAATTTCCTTCCAGTTTCATAATTATTGTCGTAATACATAGTAAAAAAATTTTAAGACACCTTTTACAAGGGAGGAAGGAAAAGCACATTTTGGGAATGATCTAAGGAAGAGCTCACCTGTGCAGGTCACCTCAGGCTGCCATTTTCCATTCATGCAGACTGAGTGCTTCTGCTCTGACTTACTCCCACATGTGTAATTGATTTTCCTATTGTGCTCATAGTTCTCACGATCTGACAACTTTGTCTCAGAGGCAATTGCCCTGGATAATTTACACGTCTTGATTTCACCTGTTGCTGCAAAATGAAAATATTCCATTGAAGACACTAATTATGAAAATCCAAGCAACTAATACAAAAAACAGAAAAACAACACAACAACTATAGAGTCTAGACTCTAATGAAATAGGACTTTAGGACCACAAATTCCACCAGAAAAGTTCTTCCTGATCATGTTGCATGAGATGGGCTCCAATGTGTGAACATACAGTCCTATGTGCAGTATTGAAGTTTCAGGGACAATAGTCATTATAGAGACATGTTGCCCTTTGGGGATTGATTGAACATTGGGTTCACCTTTTATCTGATCTACATAGGAAAGAGTCCTACATAACTAAATATGGTCCCATTTGAAATCTGTAAATTTTCACATCCTTTTTTCTTGATCTCAAATATCTCTAAATTATTTTTAGTCTACAACCTTAATGTGTTAAAAAGGCAAAATTATCCGTGGAAATAAACTATGTGAATTTCCTAGTTTTATTATATATTTTTCAATAAATTTAATGTTCAATAACAGGTTGATCTAAGTTGTAGAATACAGAATGTGAACATTTCAACATATCTTTACCACGATCAACAAAAACTAGAATAATATATTGCTTGTTTGTGTTTTACACCGTAACCTATTTTGTATATACATTCTTAGGATCTTTGAGAAGCTATTTTATCCATCATGTCATCCTATATCTAATAATATTGTATAGCCATAATAACACATTTATGCTGTTTTCGGTATGTTTTAGATACTACAAAAGTTTTCATACATAGCTATATATTTAAAAAATGCAATGCAGGTGGCAATCCTTTCTGAATTTGATAAGGCATCAGTGTAGATCTTAGGAAGTTTTTGTTCATAATTTGTTAATGATGAGAGTCAGGTGAGGATAAACAGAACAAAGAAAAGTCAAGCAACTGGCCAAAGAAAAGTAATGATTTTGCAATGCAACCTAAAAAAAATATATATAAAATCAAGGAGGCTAATTTAAAACAGACAAGAGGCTGGAGAGTTGGTCTTATTTTTGGGATGGATCCAGAGTGTTGAAGGAGACAAAATGAGTCGCGTTCTTCAAGAGATGATGACTGAAGGAAGACGTGTAGTCAAAAGAAGGTGTGATGGTTGTGGTATGTCTAAAGATGCTTGTTTTCTGAAACAATTAATTTACCAGGAGAAAAGAAACATCTTGAATAGAGTGAAAAGCAAGATTATAGGGAGGTACAAAATAAACATTAGAGAAGAATATTTTAATCATATGTCTTTAAGTAAAATTTAGCTTCATAGGTATAAACAATATCAATATTAGGGACAGACACATAAAATTCTATTGCTAGTTTCTATTTTTGCTTTATAGACACTATTGAACTATAGACAATGAATGTGTGATTCACTATAGTTTATAAGCTGACATTTCAAAAATACGGTTGGTTGCATGTAGAGCTTCCCAATGAAAAACATCCAATGCTATTAAATGTCAATTATAAAAGGGTCTTCTCACCAATGCACTGAGGTGGTTGGGTCCACGTTCCCTTAATACAGGTAACTGAGCTGTGACCAACCATTGTAAAGTTGTCTTTGCAAGTGAACTCTACTGAGTCTCCATGGTGATAGGATGGCTGTGCTGGGGACACGACCTCACCGTCCTTCGGCTCAGGTACGTCTCCACATGTACTGTGCTCCTCTGTGAAAATCCCACAACAAACACTCAACTTTCAAGTGCAAGTGAGGGCTTGATATGAAGAGAAACACAAAGTGACAACGTAAGTCTAACCATTGGAAGTGGGTTTACGTTACCAACACACACGGGCATGGGTGTCCACTCTCCGTCAGTGCACTGGATTTTCTTAGGCCCTTTCATCAGGAACCTGGGGTTGCAGGCATACTCCACCACCTCACCGTGTTCATATTGCTCTTTAGGTGTGTCTGCAACTGTCCCGTTGGGGAGTTGAGGAGGTTGATCACAGGGTTGTACTTCCTCTACGGTAGAAATTCTATGTGAGTAAACGTTCAAGTGCCTCTTGTACAACTGTTGATCCAGTAAAATGAAGAGATTTTTTCTTTAATCTATGACTTATTACCTAACTTATTATATCATTCTTTTAAAAAAGGAAACAGAATGGTGTTTATACCAGATGCATGTCTCCCAGTTCTGTTATGATACAGAACTAGCATGTGGGATAGAAATGTAAGCCCAGGAAACATTTGCTATTCTAGATCAGGGGTGGGGATCGTCTGGCCCAAGGGCCATAAAAGGCCCAAGAAATCATTTAATATGGCCATGCCAAGGCATTAGAGGTGAGTTAATTAAATGTTTGACCAATTCCAGCAAGATAATTTTTAAGTTGAAAATTTTGTATGGTCTGAGAATGATGTCATAAATATCCAAAGGCCTTTGGCAGAAAAAGGTCCCCTGTCCCTGCTCTAGACCATCTAAACCCATATGCAAATCATTGAACAAATAGGACTGTGCAACTATTCACGTTCCACGGAAACATTTCATCAAAACTTTTTTGGGAATAAAAATCATTGGAGGCAAGCATTTGATCAACAAATTTTAAATCTACGTTATATGGTATATGGCATTGAATGAACTCTATGATGCTTAAATATTGTTTAGAAATTCTTAGGGATACTTGAGGTGAGATCCATGCTGATAGAAATGTGCAATACAAATGGTGGAAGTTATGCAAAAATTCTGACTTAAAGAGATCACTCTAACTTCACTCAGTGTGTCCATCGATGGAGATTTTCAATATTTAGTCCAAAAGACAATTAAAGATTACTTCCTTAAATAAGAAAGTGTGAGGTTTCTACGACCTAACACACATTCCTGGCTTAACTTTTCCTCTCTTAATTTTCTATTGGCTGCCAATGTGTCTATAACTCCATGCATTAGACACATTGGCAGCCAATAGAAAATTAAGAGAGGAAAAGAACAGCTGATATCCAAAATCCTAATTCTTGTTTGAGCAAGTGTCAGAGAAATAATCACCTTTACATGTCGGAGGATTAGGGGACCATCCAAAGTGGTAGCACTGAAGAGAATCTGGTCCAAGAAGAAAGTGTAATCTATTTCTGCAGGAGAATTTCAACACGTCTCCAATGACATATTTTTCTTTCTTGGGCTGAGCAAGCAACTCTCCCACTATATCGGGAACGATGCATTCTCTTTCTATAAAAAGGGTAAATAATTTAATGAGAACATAAGACTAATCAGTGCCAACTAAACTTTACATGTCGTGCAAAAATTAGTGGCTGGGTGTTACATATACAGAGAGGATCAAATAAAGGCTCTCCCTGGAAGTGCATTATCTATTATGTCTAACACATCCCTCACATTCATAGGGGACCCTCTGATAGAAATAGATGTGTCCTGAAAATTTACTTGAAATATCAACTCTCTTATAGTGGATCTGATTTTATCAATAATTCCAAGGATTGCTTGGTTTTCAAAGCTTTACACATGCTGTTCCCATGAGTTGGAATACCCTGGATCCACCCAGATGCACATTCTATTTCTAACCCCGGAAAACAGACAGCAGCTTGGCAAACACGCAGGAGATTCGTGTAACTGTCCTCAGAACTATTCCCAATCGAAAGTAAGGAATTCCCGTCAGGACCTGAAGAAATGAACCCTCAGCTGGGAGGTGTCAAGAACCAGCTCGGGAGAGAACTGCTGAGGAAGTGGGAAAACATATAATGTGGGTCAAGACTACCCAGGTTTACATTATATAAAAGGTTGTGTTTAGAATAACAAAACATATGCTTGGCAAACCGTGGAGTGCAAAATAAGAGTGTGGTAATGAATAGGCTACACACACATTTTGTTTATTTCGGTGATCCTGAAAATCAGTACTTACCATGACAGGTGGCTGCATCAGACCAACCATTTTCACCACACACTATGGTGCCCGTGGTGCCTCCTTTTCCGTTTTTATATCCATCCCGGCATTCATAGACCAACTTGTCATTGACCTTAAACCACGTGCCATTACTTTTGGCTCTGGCATTCTCAAATACTGGCATGCCACAAGATTCTAATGCATAATAGAATTCAAGATTTCACTTCTAATACTATTAAATGGACAATTGAATTATGTAAGCTCCATCCCAAGAATAAAAAAGCTTTATCACTTAGCATGAGCTAATAAATTATGCATCATATACAAGTAATTTAAGCATACTAGTGATAAATCACTGTCCTAAAATCATTACTCATATAAAAGCATGTATTACTACACAGCAGTTTTACCATCACTTAAGTTATCCAAAAACATTTATTTTAAGAATATTTTTCTCAATGTAATTAAACTTAGACATTGATTCCATGTTAGCAATAAAATAGGCCATAATAGATGCATTGTACTTTTTTTTGGCAAAGCAGAATAGCATTTTCTGAGTGTAGATTCCAAAGTTATTAGTAGTTGTGACATATATGCCAGGAAAAATGAATTAGTTCAACAAAAAGTTATTTTTCAACAGTGAGAATAAACTTAACATTCCATACAATTAAACATTCTATACAATTCTCCTTTAAAACATAATAACTTTTAAAGCTCACATGCTAATTTAGCTTTTTCAGATATTTTGAATGACGTATATTTTTTTATATTTTTCAAGGTCGAATGTAAAGGTAGTTCTATATTTATAGTTAGTATAAGAAAGCAAAATGTTAAAAAATGGTCTCAATTTTCACTAACACTATATTGGAGTGGTGTTAATAAAAGCTTAAATAATTTACTTTGTATTTTATAACATACTATGCAGCTCCTTAGCTTAAAGTGTTAAAAAATAGACTAAAACTATACTAATAAAAATAATAGACACATTTCTTCCTTTCCTAATGAGAGTGTTGTAATGAATAGTTGACCACAACTTAATATAAAATGGGTCTGATATGGTTGCAACCTTCAGCATTTTTTCTTTCGCTGGTTCCCATGGTAACTATGGAAATGGAAAGCAAGGAAAATAGTTTTCATTCACTTTAAGTGAATGAAAACTACAACTGCGTGGCTTGGGGATAAATAAGAAAAAACCAGCAAACAGTCACAGGGAACGTTCATAAACTTGGAGGTCATGAAGCAGAGAGCTCTCTCCCCGCAGCGACTCTGCTTCTGTCCAGATGCATCTCCCAGTCTCCACTCACTGCACATCCCTGCAGGGTTCCTACAGGAAGTGATGTCTCAGAAGATGATCGCCCTTGCAGCATCAGACACATAAACCGCACATGTGACATTCCTCTACACCTGTGTTCAATGCTCCCACATTTCACTTCAAAGCCTACTTGGTAGGTGGAGGAACAAAGTCTCTAAAAGGGAAGTCTGGTCACCTGACAATGGGTACAAAGGACAGGACCTCAGCTCAAATGCATGAGCTCACAGCAGAATACACACAGGCCCGCTAGGCAGACTGCAAATTTCAGGATGTTTTATGGTGGATAAACCTTGAACGGAATGATGGACTTATGTCTACCCTACTAGTAATTCATTGTAAAAGACAAAGGGAAATTATCGATATATGGATTTTCTGACAAATATCTTATTTAGCTTTTTCAAATAGAGCTACATCAGCTTCTACCACCTCACAAAAAGGAAATCAGTTAGAGTAAATGTTTGTTCAATAAAATAATGGACACCATAGTCATGGAGTACTTACTAATGCATCTGGGTTGAGTGGACCATCCCTTCTGGAGACATGTAATACTCCCGGATGTGTGACCACCTTCTGTTACATAATCTTGATTGCACTGATATTTTGCTTCTTGATTTACATAATATGTAGACTGAGAGTCAGAAATAAATCCATTCTCAATTTTTACCTTTGACGTTAAACATGTTGCTAAAAGAAAGAGAGAGCATAAGGAAACGGTGAGCATATGGTCGGCAAACAGTTTCCTAAGGCCTCACACAGAATTACAACCTAAGAAATAAGGGCATTTGTCAGTGAAAACCTGGGAAATCCTACTCATCCAAAGCATTGTGACGGAGAAAGTAGGTTATGAGTTTCCAAAACTGTGAAATCTAGACATTGAATACACTTGGGGGGACTAAGCCAGATCCGAAACACTCAGGATGCCTTGTGGGAAATTGTTACAAATCTATTTGTCTCGTGATTCTGGAAGCCCCAGCATGCCCAAGCTCTCCTAGCGCCAGCCCTTTCCTGTGACCCACTGGGTTTCAATCTTGCTAAGAGGTGGCGCCTGAGTGCTCTCAAGATGAGAAGCAATGGCACCTCAGTGAGGTGATGAATGTGCTGCACAGCTCCATCTGGTGGGCATGTCACTGCGTGTGCTTCTGTCACAATAGCAAGCTGCCCCGTTAAATATGCGATCCCCATTTTCACTTACACCCCATTCCTGCTGATAAAGGAAAATCTAACTGAAAACTGAAACACTTGAGCAGGAATCAGCTGTAGCCAAACACTAGAGGAAATGTACCGAGTGAAAAGAGGCTCATTGAAAATAAGCGCTAAAATGGACAAAGAAAGAACAGTGAAGAGGGTGCCAGCCCCACAGACAAGGAGGAAGCGGAGCCAAATCCATGAAAACGACCCTGTGAGGCACATGGACACGGCCAGTGCCTAACGAAGGTTCCCGAGACACAGGCTCACTCCGTGGCTTCTCCATTCTCACTGGGGCTTGGTTGGGAGGCGGGGATTTTCCAGATCACAGCCCAGGACATGCCAGTCCTACTGAATAGGAGACACCAGCGCTGAAGACCATAAGCAGAGAGGAAAGACCCTGGAGGAGGGAGAGAGCTCTGCCAACCTGCACGGCGATCCCTAGGTCCTTTGGTGAAGGCATCCCACTAGAGTGCATGGCGGAACCCCTGAGGATGGGCAGAGCCCAACTACCAGAGGCAAGGCCTGCCAGGAACCAACAGATTCTGAGACTCCAGGGCGCACACAGCACTGGCAACATGCCTATTCACCAGTCATGTGGGAACAGGTCTTTAAACTCAAATCACTGAGGAGGGAGGCCAAAGAGGCCTTCTCCATCCAGACCCTGAGTCCGCTCCTCTGTGTAACGGCGCCCACACCAGCCCAATCACTGGAAAACCAGCCTCGAGTGGATCCAGTTGACTGGAACAACCTGGACTTCCTAAACTGAACATTAAGCCAGAGGGACTTGAGGTCTCCAACCTCAAACCCCCAGAGGTGCATTCTGGGAAGAGCAAGTCGGCGGGTGAGATTGTTGCTCTCAGAGACTTCGGTGCCCCCAGCGTGGGCCACTGGCTCCAATGGTGCGTGAACCTTCTCAGCTGGGTTCCCGGAGCCCTCATGCCTGGTGGTTGTCACAGTGTCTGTTCTTGGTGGGGAAGATGGCAGAGCCTCCTAATCTGCCATCTTGTGCCCGACTCTGTTATTACAGGTTTGCACTCTGCGTTTTTTTTTTTTTGTTGTTGTTGTTGTTTTAAATTTGTATCTACCAGTAGGCTCCCTTATTTTTCCATGGATAAACCAAGAAATCAGGTTTACACTCATACATACTTGAAAAAATAAAACCATTGCCAAAATAAGAAGGTGATAGAAACCTTTTGCCCCAGTTACTCCAGGTGAGTGTTAGACAATCAGGAACAGACTGGCTGTTAGACCAGTTTCCTTACCGACAGGGCTGCACCTGGGAGGAGGTAACCAGCCGTTCTCCGTACAGGTCAGTGAGGTCTGCTTGTCTTGAAGCGTATAGCCACGATAGCAATTAACTGGTACAGATTGGCCCTGCAAATATTTTTGTGGATGTTGTGGATGATGTCCATTTTCCAAGTAATTGAAAATGCACTTTCCTGAGAATTATAAAATGATGATAGAAATTCATAAGTGGGGTCAAAAAAATTGGAAACTAACTTTATAATATTTAAATTAGAAGCATCCAAAAGTAGCACATAACTCAAGAAACACGACAGTTGCTACCAAGTGTTTTTAAAATCCATATTAAGTGGTATTTATCTGTAGTTTCCACAATTGACGTATGTATAAATGCTATAGGTAGGCTTGTAGATCTATTTCTATTTCTCATGCTGCTAATGAAAAAACTTTATTTTTGATGAAAGAGAAATACAGTATCGGTCTTTCTGCTCAGAAACTCATCCTCCCTCCTACTCTCCCCGCCAGGCTTAGGGGTGCTCATGGTTGCTCTCTCTGCTCTGAACTATTGCCACGTGCGCAGGACAGTGGGGTTCACTCACTGCGGCAGGGCAGTTCCGGGGTCCATCCTTCTTTTTTACAAATAATGTAATCCCAGGAGCTTCCTGAAGCAGTCTCATAGTTATCATCACAGTAATAGTAAAACCATGTTCCTACGGATACCGGGAAGGATTGTCTATATCCATGTAGGCTTCCATGTTTTATTTCTGGGAAGTCACAGGGTTTAACTAGCAAGTAAAACAAACAAAACATAGCATACGTCACGTTTTATCTTAATAAGAACACTATGAGAGAGACCTTGATTCTTTGATGAATTATATTCTCACAGGCACATAATTGCACTCACTGCATTAGGCCTTCTAGGACAAGAAAGGTTATAATCTTCAGATGATGTAACACTTGTTCCCTGATCATTTCACAACATATGCAAATGTGGAATCAGTATAGTGTACACCTGAATACAACACTGAGGTCAATGTTATCTACATAGACGGTCACTCCCTTGTCATCGGTATGCACACTGGGGTCAGTGTCACGGGGGTCATGGCCTCCTCTTTAAGGCACCTGCCTGCCCACATTCGTTTGGTCTTGGCCTTGAGTGAACATGGCGCCATGGACCTGCTATGGGTACCATATCACGTGTCACCATGGATGATCCAGCTGAAGTGTGGGCCCCTTCGACAAAGAACTGACATACGAGGAAGAGCAATGAGATTGCAGAGACAGAAACCACTGGGGAAGGGGCAACCCCCCAGGAGTAAAATGCCCTGTGGACCGAGGGGCGTGTGTGACAGGGGATGGCTTTAGAAGGTGCACAATGTCTCCCACACTCACCCCCTCAGACAAGGGAGCCCCGTGCCCCTCCCTTGAGTGAGGCTGGACTTAGGGGCGGAATCTCTACTGAAGAGTTCACGTGGCTGAGGGCACCGTGTGTGACCAGGTCAGCGATGCTCTGGAGGCGGGTGTGGAGGCTTCTGCACACGCCCTGGTAGTGCGCCCCGTGAAGCACATGATGCAGCCCAGCTCCCTCCGACCCCCCACAACCTGGGCAGCATCCCAGGGAGCGACCCAGAACCAGGCAGCTAAGCAGCTCCCAAATGCCGACTCTGCCAGTGCTGACACACAGGGGGCTGGTGTATGAGGCAGTCTGTCTGGGGAGTTTGATCTATATTAGAAATCAATATCTAATGTCCTAGGTACTACCTGGCTGTGTTCTTACCAAATGTTCTCATTCACATATTAGAATATTAGCGAGAGAAATATATATTCATACATACACACGTATTTAACATTGCATACCAAAAAAAAGTTAAGTTTTTATTAACCAAAATGTGGATTTCATCTTAACTAGAATTGGAGGCTTTGGACATCAAAGACTGTTTTGAAGCCTCTGTGTTACCTTCTCATTGAGGCCAAGATTCCCTTTATTTTTTTGTTGATGTCAGAGAGGAAGGGAGAGGGAGAGAGAGAGAAACATCAGTGATGAGAGAATCATGGATCGGCTGCCTCTTGCACGCTCTCTCCTGGGGATGGAGCCTGCAACCTGGGCCTGTGCCCTGACCGGGAATCGAACCCTGACCTCTTGGTTTCTAGGTTGATGCTCAACCCCTGAGCCATGCCGGCCGGGCAGGTCCCTGGTATTTTTAAGTTTAAGAGAAGGAATTGCAGAATTAAGAAGCGGGTCAACTTAAGGAGGGAACTTACAGCTGCACCTCGGAGAAGGATCCCAGCCCATGGCAGTGCATTTTGCCGTATTTCCTTGGGTGGGAGGATAAAAGCCATCTTTACACGAGTATGTGATTGTGTCTCCCACTCTGTATTCGCTCTTGTCAGCAAGGAAGTAAGCGTTTGCAATTCTTGGAGTCTCGCATGTCTTTTCTGAAAAGTAAAAGTAAATGTCTGTTATGCAGCAAACATTTGTAAATCATTGAGGACATGTGAATTATACAGAAATCACATGAAAATCACCAAGGACATGAGAATAAAGTGAATGTCATTGTTTTTGTTCTTTCCAAAGAGCTAAAGGGCATTCAAATGAGCACCCTGTCCTTACATATATTTTTGCAATGGTTATATAGAAACTAGTAGAAAATATACATGATTATCTACACATGTGTTAAATAAAATATGTCTCCAGTATTTGATGTTAATCAACATTAACCTCAAGTGAACGTTAAATATGTTCATTTTTTGCCTGGCCAGTGTAGCTCAGGGGTTGAGTATTGACCCATCAATCAGAAGGTCATACTTGGAGTCCTGGTCAGGGCACATACCTGGGTTGGGGGCTTGATCCCCAGTGTGGGGTGTGCAGGAAGTAGCCTATCAATGATTTTCTCTCATCATTGATATATATATATATATATATATATATATATATATATAATCTCTTTCCATTCTTCTCTAAAACCAATAAAAATATGTATTTAAAATATGTTTATTTTTCTCACTTTAATCTGTTATATTTATCATGCTTTCGTATTTTCAATGCAGTCCAGTCTACCTAGCTTAGTTTTCACTTCATAGTATAGCTACACTTAACGCCAATGTTTGAAGTCAAAATCTACAAGACATATATAAAAATACATGTTTCCCTAAGAGACCATCCAAATACTATTGGGAGAATCTTGTTAAATTGATTAAGAATAGAAGAACTTCTGGTGGTCAAGCAGTGGGCATAATCTCTTGACAAATTGTAATTCTCTGCTCTCATAATCTCTATTAAAGCCAACGGTGCTGTTAAACATTGCCAGGGCCGGTGCCTCTAGCAAAAATACTAACAGCTGAGGTTGAACAAACGTGTGAGGCCACATTTTTCCTACTGTTAGAAGCCATCATGAAGATTTGGAAGACGAATAATAATTCCATATTGGCACTCCATGCTGTGACTCAGTAGGAACATCCATTTGCACAGGGATGGATGAATTGGGCCAAAGGTGGTTTTTATTTACCAGGTTGTGGTACTTTTCATCATTCCTGCAAATGACTTGTTGTCAGATTGTCCTTTAATGAATGCAGTGACAGAAGTTTTTTTTTTTAAAGTATATTTTTATCGGTTTCAGAGAGGAAGGAGAGGGAGAGAGAGAGAGGAACATCAATGATGAGAGAATCATGGATTGGCTGCCTCCTACATGCCCCACACTGGGGATGGAGCCCGCAACCCGGACTGGGAATCAAAGCATGACCTCCTGGGTCATAGGCCGATGCTCCACCATGGAGCCATGCTGGCCCGGCAGAGATCAAAGTTTTTGTTGTTGTTGTTTTAAAATATATTTTATTGATTTTTTACAGAGAGGAAGGGAGAGGGATAGAGAGCTAGAAACATCGATGAGAGAGAAACATCGATCAGTTGCCTCCTGCACACTCCCCACTGGGGATGTGCCTGCAACCAAGGTCCATGCCCTTGACCGGAATCAAACCTGGGACCTTTTAATCCGCAGGCCGACGCTCTATCCAGTGATCCAAACCAGTTAGGACGAGATCAAAGTTTTGATAAATTCCTCTCTACTGACACCTCCAATGCTACAAAGCATGGACCCGATGGGAGAAGAGTTGTGTCTTATCCCAGCGAAGGCCGTTTTAAGGTGTCTTTTGCGGCTTAGTTCCCCGTTTCTTACAAACGTGGGGAGAACAGATGCCCTTGGGAGGCCTTTCCGTGGTCTCGGGCGAAGGGGGAGCATGTTGGTGCCAGGAGCCGAGGCCCGGAGGGTGCCGTGCGTGCACAGGACCGATGGCGTGCACCGCAGCCGGCGCCCGCGAGGAAGGGGAGGTTACCTAGGCAGGATGGGGGCGGGGTCCACCCCCGCTGGGTGCAGACGGTCTCTGCTCTCCCGCCGTAGACGTAGCCCTGCAGACACTTGTACTGCAGCCTCTCGTTCTCCCTGTACAAGGCCTTCGGGGACGTGGGCTCTCCGTTTTCGATTCGTGGGAGTGGGCAGGAGATGTCTGGGTGAGGGGGTGAGATTCCAAAGTGTCTGTTAAGGACGTGAAAGGAAGGTGCCCAACGCAGCGCCCCCAGGCCCTCAGCTCTATTTGCACCGGGCAGGGCAGGCAGCCAAGCATATGTGTCCTTATCCCTCCATGGCCTCCCACCCTCATCCCCACCCTAAACCCATTCATGCCCTCGCCCCCGTGGTGTCTGTGCCCATTGGTTAGGCTCCTAGGCATGCGTACAAGGCCTTTGGTTGATCTCTCTCCTTTATCCCCATCCTCCCCTGCCTTCTCCCTGAGGTTTGAGGAAGTTACCATTCTGACTACAATCATGCTGCTAATTCCGTTGGGTTTGAGGGTAGCCCCGTCCTGCTGAAATAAACACTCATCCACTGTATACACAACACTGGACAGAGCTCTGAGCTGCCATGGCAGGCATTTTCGCTGAGTAACCTGCAAAAGCACGTCTGTTCTAGCTATTGGGAATAGAGAGATGACAGACGGAGCTGTTCACTGTTGACTTTGTAAAGAAAAAAAAATTAATTGATCTCATTTGGATGACAGCTCCACAAAGCAATCGGCCTTCTATGCGAGTGGTGTCGTCATCCATGTTTTCTATCCAAGAAAACATGGGCACCACCGTTTCTTCCGTTATAAAACAGAGATTGAAATGGTGCATGTGCCACAAAGTCACTTTGAAAGTATAACGAGGTGACACGCATCAAGACCTCAGATGGATTGCTGGGAAGTAGTAAGTGCTCAATCAATGCCATTTGATATCAGTACCATATAGATTCTTAGGAGGCACAGTGTCTCTGCAATGCCTATTTTCATGAGAGAAGAAAATCCCTAAAATGCACAGAAGGGGTATCTTACCCACACAGTTGGGCTTATCTGCACTCCACTGGCCGTTTCCTGAGCAATGTATTTCCGAAGGTCCGCCCAGCTTGAAGCCCTTGTCACACTCAAATTTGACCACCTGCCCGTAAGTGTATTCCTGGCTCAGTTCGAACGCGCTGCTGATGAGTTTTCCATTCTTTGGCGCCTCCACGGGTAAACACTTAACCACTGGAAAAGGAACGCAACTTTTTCTAATAGGCTTTGGAAGTTGGCCGTGAAAATTACATATCTACACAGATGGAGGTATAAAAATCAGCAAGATAAGATCGGAGGAAATTACTTAAATGTTTTTCTTTCCTTTTTTTTTTCTTAAAGAAGCATTCAATAGAGCTGTTTGCTGGAGATAAAGTCCGCTAAATGGAAAAAACAAAACAAAACAAAAAACAAACAAAAAACCAATATTGAGTTTCTCTCTCATAACCCCCTGAATTAAAATATATATATATTTTATTGATATTTTACAGAGAGAAGGATAGAGAGTTAGAAACATCGATGAGAGAGAATCATCCATCAGCTGCCTCCTGCACGCCCCCTACTGGGGATGTGCTGGCAACCAAGGTCCATGCCCTTAACCGGAATCGAACCTGGGACCTTTCAGTCCGCAGGCCGATGCTCTATCCACTGAGCCAAACCGGTTCCGGCCCTGAATTTTAAATAGTGGTACTTGTGTGCTTTCTAGAGGTCAGAATCCAAAAGGAAAGAAAAATAAGTTCCAGATTTCCCAAGCGCTCGTCCTTTAAATATTAGATCGGATGAGGTTGAGTTCCTATTTGGTTACTGACACACAGAACAATGTAGTGGTAAAAAGGTCAGAGAGGCAGTCTGTGCTATTTCAGAAACCGTAAATAACAATTTGCAGAGGAGACACTGAATTATAGGCTGGAAGGATGTTTTAATGGAAGCCAGGGGAAAACATCCTCGGTATTTTTAGAACTGTATGTACCGTCACACAGAGGCACGTCATTGGTCCATCCGTCTGCATCACAGTCCCGGAAATTGGTGTCCCCTATCATCTGATACCTGGAAACCAGAGATAGTAGGGCAGTGAGCAACTTTAAAGTCGATACCATGCTGAATGTCCAAACTCCCTTGGAGGGAAAATGAAAGGCATATGCATTTTCCTCTTCCTCTTGCTCTCTGTTGTCATCTCTTAAATTCCTTTTTTATCTTTCTTTTTTAAAAAAGAAATATATATATATATATATATATATATATATATATATTATTGATTTTTTACAGAGAGGAAGGGAGAGAGATAGAGAGCTAGAAACGTCAATGAGAGAGACATATCGACCAGTTGCCTCTTGCACACCCCCTACCGGGCATGTGCCCGCAACCAATGTACATGCCCTTGACCGGAATCGAACCTGGGACCTTTCAGTCCGCAGACCGACACTCTACCACTGAGCCAAACCAGTTTCGGCATTTTTTTTTTTTTTATCTTTCTTAAATTTTGGTTTTCCTTCCTTGAGAAATACCCTTAAGCTGTAGGTAGACTAGAGATAACCATAATCCTTGGTTCATGAAGCCAACTCTTCATTTCACGCACAATATGCTATTATTTTTTTAATGAGTCAGTGAATCAGTTGCACTTAATAAGTGTCACAAGCTTTATGAACGGTCACCCCAAAACTAAAGCCGTTAGACGTGATAGTAACCAACAGCTGACCTATGTTGCCCCTCCTTCAACCTTACTCCATCCTTCTCCCCTCCAATATGGCGGCATATTCTGCTCACTTTGGGGCTTCTTCCCTAACCAAGGAACGTGTCAGGGAAGGTTCCTTGGTGTGGGGTTTCTGTTCAGAAGTTCCTGTCTACCGTATCCATGATCAATGACCTCCACTCACATGTGTGGTTTTGGAGTGACTACTTACCCTTCATCACACGTGTAAACTACCTTGGCCCCGTATTCGAATTTGTCTCCTTCTGCGAGTTCGAATGAACCGAAGGGCGTGTCACCCGGGTGCCCACAGGGCTTCTCTGAAATGGAGAAAGGCAGGCAGTAGTATCACCTCCCCCAGAAACACCTTCCCCTGAGGCTTCAGGGACAAGGGGAGTTGACGCTGATGTAGAGGACAGGATGAAGGATGCGGAAAAGCGAAGAATGGCAGAGTCATTGCTTTAGAATGGAACTCATCTGTACACGTGCTTTTTCACATTTGGAAGATTACCTCCCCTCTCCCCTCTTTTCAAAAATTATAATGTTTTTATTGATTTTTAGAGAGGGATAGGTAGAAACATACATGAGAAAGAAACATCCTTGATTGGCTGCCTCCTGCACGCCCCCTACTGGGGATGGTGCACACAACACGGGTCTTGCCTGACTGAGAATCAAGCCCATGACCCCTTGGTTCATGGGTTGACACTTAACCACTGAGCACACCGTCTTTAAAGAATGAAGATGGTGTCGGGTTTCGTATTTAAGTGATAACACTGAGACAGGCCAGCCACAGAATTAAACTACAGTATTGCTGCTACAGATTCAAACCCTCCGTCTTTCCGCAACGAAACGTTTCTGTTGATGTCGCACACGTGTGGCTGACTTACTTTGACACGTCTTGTGTGGGTTGAGGGCCACCCAGTTCCCGCCCTTGCATTCCATGGTGATCACGCCGTACGTCCGGTACCCAGGGCGGCATTTGTAGGTGGCCTTCGTGCCTTGAGGGTAGGCCTGGTCAGACCAGGAGCCCGTCAGAATTTCGGTCTGTTTTCTCGGGGGAGGACCATTACAATCTACAAACAAGAAACACAGAACAAGGGCTCAAAGCAGCTATTTAACTAGACAGTATGTTTAGGTTAGTTTTACTTTAAAACCTACACACACACACACACACACACACACACACATAAATGTATTAGAGGCCCAGTGCATGAAAATTCCTGCACTTGGGAGGGGGGTGTCCCTCAGCCTGGCTTGCGCCCTCTCGCAGTCTGGGACCCCTCGAGGGATGTCCACCAGCCAGCTTAGGCCCGCTCCCCTGTGGCTGCCTCTGTGGAGATGTGGTGCCGGGACTGGGACCAGGCAGCCTTCTCTCCTGCCCCCTCTGCAGAAGGGGGGTGTGCCAGGACCACCATGGCTGGCCTGAGGGTGCAGGCTTGCTGGCCCCGCTCTCTGCCCACTGGCTGTTCGGCCAGGTCGCTCTGGTCTAATTAGCATGTTAGCTCTTTATTATATAGGATAGCTGGTTTATATATAAAACATACGTTTTATTATAGCTTACGGAAATGGAAGCTGCATACATTTGTAGGAATAACTTTGCAGAGAAATAGTCACACTTCACTATATTGTTTTAACTGCCGCCTTGCACTCATTAAGTTGGAAAATATATGATGTGAAGAAGAACACAATGAGTGAAGGATATGCCCTCATGGGGAAGCGACTCATGGGGAAGCGAGTGGTTACATAAGTAATGAAAGATACAGACTTCCCGTTATAAACAGGTACGTTTTCCTTTAGAAAAAGAAAGCATGGTAAGGTGATCCGAACACAAGAAAGGAACAATGATGCTCATGCCTACTGTCATTATTGCTAATATTTTTGATACTGACTACTGCTTAATTTAGTTATAACTACTCCTGATGTTAGAATGATGACATTAGTAAGCCCTCGACACATTACTTTTCAAAATGGTACATTTAAAGATACACTAAGGAGACAGAGAGAGAGAGAGAGAGAGAGAGAGAGAGAGAGAGAGAGAGAGAGAGAGAATCATGGACATGGACAACAGTGTGGTGATTTTGGGGGTAGACGGGGGAGATGGGGATGGAAAAATAAAGTAAAATAATATAAATAAAGTGCATAGCTAGCACATACATCATTACTGTTCGTTTGTTTGCTTGTTTTTCATTGATAACCTCCTTTCCTGAGTTGGTTTCATACTAACGGTTTAATGTCCTATTCTAGAATTCCCTTTTTTAAAGACAAGGTGAAAAAACAATCGGCTAGAACAGATCTCATCAGGGAACAGATTCGTTATTAAAACCTTTACAGCATCTCAGACAACAGAGACGCTGCGCTACTACCCACACACCAATTTTCCTGGGAAGATTTCGCAAGCTCTGAGCACCGTCATGTTCCGGAACTTGGCAATCAAGGATTCCAAGGTGCGGTCTGGATTTCCGGAAGTGAAGTAAATGTACTTTTTTGATTTTGCCAGTAGGTGGTGGTAATGCCTCGCCAGGAAACCACCCACCCAACCTCCTCCAGCCTCCCAAGGGAGTTTTTGTTTTGAAGTTTTTTTGTGTGTTGTTTTTGTCTTGTTTGTTTGGTTTTGATTTGTTTTGTTACATGTTAATGTTCATGTTTGTTTTTTTAGATGAAAATTTTCGGTTTAATTACAAGCTAACAGTGTTTTTTCCTTTTTTGATATTCAGACTTACTGCAAGGCGTTCAGATTATTAGAAAAATACATGAGTTAAATTTCAAATGTAGATGCCCATACAGTGCGTCAAGAACTATTTTCCGCTAATATAGCAGCCTGTTGATACACGTGCTTCCTGTTCTGTTATTAAGCTAATGAAGGGGGAAAGGGATACAATTTTCTCAATTGATTTATTCGATTGAAATTATTTTTACTCACGCAGCCATCTACCAAAAGAGTAATCTGGCCACACACACACAGGAATGTAGCCTGTTTGCTGGCCGACGAGTTTTCTTCCTTTGGGTTATTGTTATATTTCCAGATGACACATTTATACCTCTAATTATTTAAAAAAAAATACATCTTATTGATTTTTTACAGAAAGAAAGGGAGAAAGGGATAGAGAGTTAGAGAGAGAAACATTAATCAGCTCCTCCTGCACATCCCACACTGGGGATGGATGTGCCCGCAACCAAGGCACATGCCCCTGACAGGAATCGAACCTGGGACCCTTCAGTCCACAGGCCGACTCTATCCACTGAGCCAAACCGGTTAGAGCAGTGGTCAGCAAACTCATTAGTCAACAGAGCCCAATATCAACAATACAATGACTAAAATTTCTTTGGAGAGCCATATTTCTTAAACGTAAACTTCTTCTAATGCCACTTCTTCAACATAGACTCGCCCAGGCCGTGGTATTCTGTGGAAGAGCCACACTCAAGGGCCCAAAGAGCCACATGTGGCTCGAGAGCCGCAGTTTGCCGACCCCTGGGTTAGGGCTCCACCTCTAATTCTTGATTTTTCAAATTTAGTTTGTTGCTTTTAGCCAGATGAAAAAGACAAAGGTAGACATCTCATAATCTTCCCACCAGCTTTTCACAATATTCACTGTGTGTTCGTTTATCAGGGGTTCCCAAGTGGATTGATTACCCTTTTTGATGTTGAATAATACTTAAAAGTGCTTCTTTCATGGACTTGAAATGCATATCTTGACTCTGTAAGAAAAAAATGTGTCGCCCTGGCTCGGTTTTCCCGTCTTTCCACGGCCATCGCCAGTTTCTTAGCTCTGATTACTCTCATCCATCACCTTGACTGAGAAACATTCTTAGCCGCAGAGTTTGGACGGTTGGCTTTGTCTCCTCCTGCAGGCTCTACTTAAATATTATTTCCTTCCCAACACAGCTCAGGCTTCATCATTATGTTATGTTTACTAAACTTTCTCTTTTTTTATATATATAAATATTATGTTTATGTAATATCCATAACCATAGATAAGGCGTTTTTATTGTATGTTAATATTGAACACATTGTAAGCTCAATAAAAGGAGGTGTTGTTTACTAAACTTTCATCAATCCTCCCATTCATGTTGGCTCCCTAAGGGAAGGATCAACTCTGTCCTCTTTTTTTTTTTTTTTAAACTATTTTATTGATTTTTTTTAGAGAGAGAGAAAGGGAGAGAGAGAGAAACACTGATGAGAGAGAAACATCATTGATCAGCTGCCTCATGCACACCCCACAGGGAATCTAGTTGCAAGCTGGGCATGTGCCCTGACTGGGAATTGAACCAGTGGCCCTTGGGTTCCTGACTGGATGTTCAACCACTGAACTATACCGGCTGGGCTCTGTCCTCTTTTATATAGTAGAGGGACTTTGATGAATATGCAGATCTCCTCACTTTAAATGTACCTCCTGTCTACCTGTGTCCTAATCTGGAATATACTGAGTATTTCCAGCTTATGTCATTCCAAAATATTTTAAAGTGACGATTCACCAAATGGTGTCCTATCAATAGGCAAGCCTATCTTATGACCTGGCTTTTACTTGCCTGGATTGACAAAGAGCTAACTGTTCCAAGCTCATTCTCAAAAATGTTCAATTAGACAAAGAGTTATTTTATCCCAAATAGTCAGAATGCTGGCTCAGATGTACACCAACCACATTACCTTGTGTTAAATGGACAGTTCTTTCCCATCTTTAGATCTGGAAGTTTTTATTCTTATTTATTTATTTTTTTTTGAATAGCCATCATATGTCTCAAGTTCTAAGTTAACGAGTGTAATCCAAGCTTTCTCAAGTGTAGGTATTATATTTACTTGGTTTAAACAATGAATACTTCATCTTATGTGTTTACAGAGTCCATTACATGCCCGTTAATTTTCTTCTTTGGCGAAACACTATCTGGATGAACTTTTTATTTGCTTGCTCTGGTTTTCCGAGTGAATAAGACAAAATTATTCGGTCTGTAAATATGTGGTATGGATGGATTTGGCTATTGAACTAGAATAGGATTCATTTTATGCTAATTTGAGGAACAAGATTATAAAATTTTAATCAAAGTTAAAAACAAATACACTTGATATTTTAAAAATCAGCACTCACCTAATTTTACCACTTTCAGATTTTAAGGGGGTAGTATTAACATAGACACACAGAACTATAATAATTGCTGGTTTTCAATGTCAGTGCATCTATAAACTTGTTTGAAAAGTATTCTTAATCCAAGGCAACAAATTATAATAAAATTATACACTTGAGAAAACATGATCAAATCCAGAGTGCTTTGGTAGGCTGAAGTTGGGCTCTTTGTTCAACAAGTCTATTTTTCTAGAATTATTTAGCATCTGAATAACTATCATGACAATCTTGGGGATACAAATGAAAAGCCAAAGGGAAGAAAAACATCACACATACTACCCATTGTACCTGTGGCTCTTGGGGAAGTTCAATGGATGGAAGAGTTAGAAAGATGGTACATCGCTTCAGCCCTCCAGTATTACAGAACTACGCCAGCCCTTTGTACAAACACGATGTTCCTTAATCTTGAATGCCCTCCTTGCCCTCCTTGCCTCATCTGGCCAACTCCTACTCAGCCTTCAAAACCCACCCAAGATGTCCTCACCACCCTGCCATTATTTTCTCTCCACCCTACTCCACTCCATTCTCTCAGTCCAATTTGAGTCCTTGCCTTCTCTAAATGATCTTATAGACTCCTTTGTGTATCTCCGACACAATACTTTCGATGATCAAATATACTATGTTAGTAAAATGCAATAACCATTCCTTTTGTTTCCCCACTAACTGGCCACCTTTTGGAAAACGATAGTGTGGTACATAGCTGCCAATCAATCAAGAACCGATGGTTGAATGGATGAATGAATGAGTTAACGAATGAATGAATGAATATGAAACTTTCTCGGACCTTTCCCTTATATCTGTAGGTTATAGACAACTTGCATGGGAGACCGTAGCAAATATAAAAGGTGAGTGAGGACCTGGGAACAGAAGTTTAGTTGCATGAAGCCAAGAAACTATACCATCCTGTCCACTTAGGCTATACTTTCTGAAGCCAGGAATTATTTTAATTTAGCTCAAAAAAGCTTTTGGGAGCCTTGGAGGGAACATTTTTATAGTCTCTCTTCTATCTATTACATTTCGAGTTAACAAGATTTATGAGAAAGTTGGCTCTCTCTCCATTAAAGTGTCAAAACAAATAAAAGTGCTCTGTCAAATCTTTTATTCCCCTTCCCCAGTATTATTTTTGTGATTCCCCCCCCCCCCCCCGGTTCCATTACTTCCCCTGAGACACTTTTATAATATTTCCTTATCGTTTTAAGCTAAAATGTAATACTTTTCCAAGCAATTACATCATGTTCTTTTCAGGCATTATGTTCTGAAGAAATGGGCAAAGTGCACCAGAGTGGGGAGAGAACACACAATGGATTGGTTGGCAGAGGGTCATGGCCAGGCAGGGCAGGGGGAGGGGGTGCGTGGGGGGAGGAGAAGAAGGAGGAGGAGGAGGAGGAGGAGGAGGAGGAGGAGGAGGAGGAGGAGGAGGAGGAGGAGGAGGGAAAGCAGTGAAAGCTGTAGAACAATCAAGGTTTGAGCAAATAAACGTGGATCCACTTAGACTTTGGCTCCAGACCCGGCAATCAAAGGCCAATAAGGAATCGCTACTAACCAGGGCTTCTAACTTCTAGCTAAGTGTAGCGTTAGCGATTCTTAAACAGCCCCCTTCTCCTTTAACATTTTAGGCAAGAGGAAGAGAGGCATACGCATTTTTCCAGGACGTGCCTACGCTTAAAAATTACAACAACGTGGGTGGGCCATGGGGACATGACGCTAAGTGAAATAAGTCAGACAGGAAAAGCTAAGAACCATTTCACCCCTATGTGGGATAGGAAACTGCAACTGGTGGACACAAACAGTCCAGTGATAGCCGCTGGGGGTGGGGTCGGGGGACAAAGGGGTCCCTCATAGGAGGTGTCAGGGGAAGATTTGACTTTGGGCGGCCACATGGTGTCGTATACAGATTTTATAATTCAGGAATCCACACTTGAAGCCTAGGTGCTCATGTTGACCAATGTCACCCCAATAAAATGTTAACTTAACAAATGTCATTATTAAAAAGTATTTCAGAGTGCAACATAATAATAATTAAAAAAAAAACAGCGAGGCTTGCTTTGGCACAGTCCCTCTCCATCTCACAGGACGTGTCATCCATCCGACCTCGTCCCCCTGGGAGTACCTCATCAGCCAGAATGGCTTCCTCGGGTTCTCACCCTGCTCGCCACCCACCTCTCCCTCCACCCGGGGAAGTCGATACGGAAAAGGGGCCAGCTATACGAACGCACAGCAAACCAATTTCGTTTGGGGACTGTTGAGCTGGCAAGGAAGAGCACAATTATTCTACAGCCTCTGGAAATCCATGACACTTTTCTTACTGCGCGTGTGAAGTTGGGGCATTCCTGAGGCTAGCCTGCGCTTCGCTTTCAACATTGCAGCTGTGCTTAAGTTAGGAAGTGGTGGACTGAGAGTCATTCTCGTGATAACGCATCTGGTGCTGAGCTCCCGGCAGAACCCCGTGTCACACGTAAACATTCGCAAGCGACACAAGGAATAGATGCTAGAAATAAGTTGCGTGGTATCAATGGCCTCTCTGAATAACATCAATGCCCTTTATCTAATTTTTACCACCAATACCTTGTAGCACCCAACTTTAATATTTCAAACTCCGCTCTGCAGTCGTTGAGAAAGTCTAATTGAATGTGGCATGATTCCTGAGTCGTAAACAGAAGCTAGACATAGACTGAGTGTCTACATGACAAATGCAGTCTGCATAAACCCCTCACAAACAACCTGTAAATACATGGCGAGACACTACACGCATTCCTATTTAAAAAAAAAATGACAAAAACACACGTAAAGAAACAAGTTTTCTGTGGTTAGCCAGTATCATAGTTCCGGACTTTTTATCAATAATATTCTACTTTTAAATACTGGCTGTAACATTGAGGTGATTGTATACCTACTTTGAAAAGTGGCTGGATGTATAGTTTACACGCTAAAAGTCACACCATACTATTAATATGTTATAATAGAACAAGGTAACTAAAAAGGCTCTATTTTTCAAAATCTAGGAAGCACACTGGAACAAACGTATGTATGTTACTGAAGGACATAAGTTAAAAAAAATCTGCCTTGATTTTCTAGGATGAAAGACCCCTGGGGACAGAGGGCCTGGTTGTGTGTGAAGATTCCTCGGTGCTCAGAGGCTAGTCTGAGTAAGCCTTACACTCAAACCATGTTGGCTTAGCGGAAAGTTCTGAGAATCAATTGCAATGCATCTGGCTCACCGATGGCAGTCATGTACCTATCACATCATCGCGTGTCGGGAACCAGGAGAGCAACTTCGTTCAGTCGGGTTTAAGAAACACATTCATCAATCAAGAATTAGAGACACTTGGCTCTCTCAGAATTACATTTAAGGATGAATTCAGAAATTGTCCTCCTGATATCAGAAGAAAGTCTTTCTATTATAGCTAAAGACTGTTATTCTAGAATCATCCTTATCTACAACCCCAGGGGAAATCTCTACTCATCAGAGTAGGTATCCCAGAGAAGGTGTGTTCTTCCCGTCCACCCAAAAAATTTATATCACACTTTCATTCTAATAATACAAGTAACGGTCATCTATAAGACCATGGGAACACCAGTTCTAAATGACAGGTGAATATGTCTTTAAGAACAGTTAATACTACAGCTGAAATAAATCCAATCATTATATGATTTGAAGGCTTTTGCTGCCTAGTTTCTTTAAAAAAATATATTTTATTGATTTTTTACAGAGAGGAAGAGAGAGGGATAGAGAGCTAGAAACACAGATGAGAGAGAAACACCCATCAGCTGCCTCCTGCACACCCCCCACCGGGGATGTGCCCGCAATCATGGTACATGCCGTTGGCTAGAATCGAACCCAGGACCCTTCAGTCCGCAGGCTGACGCTCTATCCACTGAGCCACACCGGTTTCGGCAACTGCCTAATTTCTATTCTGCTTCTGCATATATTCCCATGCTGCTTCATACTTTGACATGGAGCATTTTAGTGAAAACTGAGAGCAAAAAAAAAAAAAAAAAAAAAAAAAGAAAGAAAGAAAAAAAAGAAAAAAGGAAATGATATCTTAGGAAAATTGCAAATGGAAGTGACCGTAGGCACCCCAATTTTCAAAGCCAGTTCTAAAAACGCTTTCCAAAAACTTCCACAAAGTTATCATTTAGGGCTCAAGGATCAGAATGCCCTGCCAGGAAGCCACGCAGAAGCTTTAAAGTTCGGTGTCAAAGCCACTCAAACACCAAGCCACGGAGCTGGAATAAAAGCGAGTTTTCTAGAGCACAGGGTCACTGCCGCTGCGCGGAGACTGTCAGTGAGTCCTTGGTAACAGAGCCGCAGAAAAAACAAACAAGAAGCTTCTCGTATGTACTCTTACCTTGGGCTACACAGACAGACCATAACGTGAGCCACAGGACCTGTGCGGGGAGCCTCATTTTGGGGGGCCTGTCAGGGGTGCATGGAGTAGCTCACGATGCCCACTCTCCCTCCGGGTGTCCTCTGGGCAAACTGTGGTCCGTGCAGGAGGTGCTGGCTGCAGGAGGAAGCTGGAGCTCAGCTCGGGGAACTGGGAGCTGAGGGATGCCCCGCCCAGCAGGAGGGACTGGAGGGACTGTCCAGAGGGAGGGAGAAGGAGCCCATTCCTGGCTCCCGCTGAATGGGGACGAGGTGACCTGGGCCGGCTGGGTTGTCATCCGCCCAGGCCTGTTCCCTGCTGGACGCTCTGGGGTCCTGGGAATGGGCAGCGTTGGAGGAGTGGCCCCTGGGTTCTGGAACCCTCCCCTGCCTCCCACCCCACGCGGGTCCACGGTGGGAAACCTGGGAGATGAACTAACAGGCGCTCCTTGAAACATCCTCTGGTGGGACTGGAGGTGGGGTGAGGCTTGCACAATCCAGACCCGGACGGGGTGTGTGTGTGTGTGTGTGTGTGTGTGTGTGTGTGTGTGTGTGGTCAGCTTTGCCAAGAATGCGGGGCTGGTGGATTGGGAGGGGGAAGGACCTGCTTTTCTTGCAACACGGGCCTCAGTCCTCTGAGGCTTGTTCACAGGATGTGCAAGCAACAGGTCCACACGCTGAGGCACAAATGAGTTCAAAAAGCAAGAAGTGGGAATGCTGCTTTTACACTGTACTGGGACCATCTGCAGGAAGAGAATGCAGGCAAATGGTTTGCTGTTTGGAAGGTAAAGACAGCCTGGGGCCAGCCACAGGGTCAAGACACCCAACAGCACTTTCTCCCAGGCCCCCCCAGTCCTCCCCTCCCCCCAAGCTCTTGCCCCCTCCCATCCCTCAAAGGGCGCCCCCTCCCTCTTCTCTATAAGAACATGGACTCAATGGGCCATGTTGGTGCTTCCTATAAATCAAATAATGTTATTGATTCCTCTGTGTGTGTGTTTGTTTATTTTTTAAGGACTTGTCATTTGAGTGACAAATACTTTTCTAAAACATATATATTTTTAAAGAATTTTTAAAAATATATTTCATTGATTTTACACAGAGAGGAATTGAGAGGGATAGAGAGCTAGAAACATCGACGAGAGAGATACATCGACCAGTTGCCTCTTGCACACCCCCCACCGGGGATGTGCCTGCAACCAAGGTACATGCCCTTGACCGGAATCGAACCCGGGACCTTTCAGTCCGCAGGCTGACGCTCTATCCACTGAGCCAAACTGGTTTCAGCCAAAACATATTATTGATTTCAGAGAGGAAGGGAGAGGGAGAGAGAGGGAGAGAAACATCCATGATGAGAAGGTATCATGGATCGGCTGCCTCCTACACGCCCCTTACTGGGGATCCAGCCTGCAACCCGGGCATGTGCCCTTGACAGGGAATCAAACCTTGACCACCTGGTTCATAGATTGATACTCAACCCCTAAGCCACACTGGCTGAGCCTTAGGTTCCATTTTGGTTTAGAACCTGGGCTCTATTCTCTCTCATCGTTGATGGTTCTCTCTCCACTCCTCTCAGAACTCAGTAGGAAGAGAACCGAGGGAATTGGTATCTTTCCTCCTGGCGCACACGAGACACGATGCACAAGTTGCCCTCCGTATGCGTGGACGAAGGGAAAGGTCATTTTTCCAGGTTCATTTCTGGACACCCTCCCCCACAGAGAAGCCTACACATCCCCCAGCCCCCTGTGAGGGGACCCTGCGGCGTCCTCTCATTTAATAATGGGCCCAGAAGACGAGAACACTGCCTCTGCATTTCCTTCCATCCTGTTTGGGGGGAAATGATACACTCAGCGGGAGCCAGGAATGGGCTCCTTCTCCCTCCCTCTGGACAGTCCCTCCAGAGTCCCTCCTGCTGGGCGGGGCATCCCTCAGCTCCCAGTTCCCCATCTTATTCCTGGCCCTGGCTGTATCACGTGATGTTCTAACACCAGGCCGTAAGCTCTTCAAGTAACCCACCGTCCTCAGGGAGAAGGGAAGGACCACCACCGGCCATCCCCTTGGCCAAATGGAGAACATTCGGGAAACACAGAAAGCTGGGGGAGATGGCGACGGGTGGCCCCCTTTCCTGCACCCGCTGCCTCCTGAGTTCCTAGACATTCACCCCCGGGCGCCACACAGACCTAACGGCACCCTCTGGAGCCTGTTCAAGGCTGTGGGATGAATCTGTGACCTCAGCCTCCTGTTTGCTCTGCACGGAGATTGCCTCAACCTTTCCAGCTCCACCGACCTCACAATCACTGCTGATTAATAATTAATGCTCCTGTGTCAGGGGAGGCATGAAGCTTCTCATCTGCTGATGGCCTCGCAGAGCTGGTAGGCGAGTTCTGTGAGTCCCTTTACACACGAGTGGCAGGAGGTTAGGACCCAGACGGTCTGGCCTCACAGTTAGACGTGCAAGCACCAGGCTCACCGCCCTTCTGACTCAGTGTATGGCTGGACATCTTTGCTGCGAACAGAGGGGACTCTTAGCATGGGTCAGTGCCATGAGCAAGGGCCCCAGGCAGTCCCACTCCGAAAATAAAGGGAAATGTTAAGGAGCGATCACCCTAGACTTCTGATAATAAGAGACACGTGCCCCCAAACTCCGAGGAGAGAACACCCACCCTTTTGGGTCGGTCCCTTGAAGTGGCAAACCTTTTCGTCGTTTTGATGTGGATAAAGACCACCAGAGAGAATAAAGACTTTGCCTGCAGGGACTGAAGAAAAAATAAGGAGGGGAAGGAGTTAAAAGCTTTTATTTTTGCTTTTTTAGAAATTCTGTTTTCACAGACTGCGACGGACGACACCGTGCCCTCAAACCTGTGTCAAGATCATGTGTCAAAGGCAAATATAACATCTGAGAAGTCTTCCCCACACACATTAGCAAGAAGCTTTGGCCCTGTGAGCGGCTACCTGATTCCTGGCGAAAGTTTGGAATAAAAGCCATGGGGTCTTCGTTGTGTCTACATGTTATGCGTGTCTATGGCTATGCATGGCATATATGTGATGCTTTTCAACTTTGGAGGGGCATTTCAAAATTATTTTGTAAAATTAAGTCCTCTTTGTGTTTAAAAATAAGCCTTAATATCAACAGCATATTTTTAAAAAATATATTTTATTGATTTTTTTTTACAGAGAGGAAGGGGAGGGATAGAGAGTTAGAAACAGCAATCAGCTGCCTCCTGCATGCCCCCACTGGGGATGTGCCCACAATCAAGGTCCATGCCCTTGACTAGAATCGAACCTGGGACCCTTCAGTCTGCAGACCAACGCTCTACCCACTGAGCCAAACATGTTTCGGCTCAACAGCATATTTATGGAAAACTGAAACTTGACTCCCCCTCATCTGCTGATAAAATAGATTTTTTTATGGCTGCTGGTTCGTTCTTGGTAAGATTGTGAAAGGGTTATGTTTACCTTTTGCGTAATCTGGCTGGAAAACAAGGATTCTGTGTTTAACGAAAATGGTTTCCTGTATTTCTCATCATCCTTACTGGATCTTTGATTGTTTAAGAAAATGGATCCTTCGCCGTTAAAGGGGCCACGTTGTGTGTGTGGGTGTGTTTTTTTTTTGTTTTTTTAACAACTATACAGTTCCCCGGTATTTGCCTTTGATTTCTTTAGTTGTGACTTTGGTTCAATGAATAACTAAGGATTGTCTCATAGTGACCTATGATCTCATTTAATTGAGTGCTTTAAACCTTTTGATAAGTTTTTACAAACTTCTCCCAAAATCAAAATCGAAATGAAGCCTCGTTGACCTTGAACTAATTTTGGGATTTTCACCAGGGTCCCTGGCACATCTCAAAAGATGTGTCCTGTCTTCCTGTTGGAGATATGAAACGTATAGGCTTGCTTGATATGTTAAATTAAACGGGAAGCAAATATATTCATAAAAATAATATATTTATTGCAAAATAACCTAAAGAAAGTTCTAACATCAGAGACGTGATGCTAGAACTTTCTTTAGGTTGTTTTGCAATAAATATATTATTTTTTATGAATCACATATATATTATTAAACTAGGTAATTGATACATTATTAATATAGTAATTAATACAAGTGTTCCTGCATTAAGTGCTTCCTCTTCAAGGCTATTCATGGAGAATCCTCCAGCAGAGACAGGTACCTGATAACTACTATCAGCCTGCGTTCACTGGGGAAGGGCAGTAGTGGACCTTCCAGTGCTCAGCCCACAACACGTTATGGGTGAGAGCCCGAGACCTGTCCTTCCTCCCCCACATCAGTAACAGGAGGCCATTACATGGATGACATCACGTGAACGTGTGAAGACCACCCTCTGAAGGTCAGGGGGCCTTTGCTGGAACATCCGTGAGGGAGACGGTGGGTGTTGAACCCACAGCACACGCAAGGCCCATGCCCTGCAGCAAGGAGTCCATTGGTGGGGTGAGATGCCTGTTTCCCCAGAAGCTGTGGTTGAGAAGGTGCGAGCTTGGCTGATCCCTGAGAACATGGAAGAGGTGCAGGGCTTGGTGGGGATTTGGAAGTTTCGGGGGGATTTTGATGGAGTTCGGTCCCAGAAAGCACCCCTAGGATTCTGGGAGGGGACAGACATCAGCTGCCAGCAGAGGAAGAGATCTGGCCATTTGGAACCAGTTCCTTACAGCTTCTGCCTGGAGATCACGTGAGTCACTTCAACTCTCATTTCATTGTCCAAAGCGTGCTCCGTGCACGCACTCAACATAAAAGCTAGGAAATGTGGTCCTACTGTGCGCCTCCGACTCCCTCCTCTTATTATCTTCCTGATTTTGTTGGGTTTACCCTTTATTCTCTGGTTCTCCCACTTACATTCGTTTTCATAACTAGGTTTGCCATTTCCTTCAAATCTTAATATTATATCTGAGTGGACTTATTCTTTTTTTTTTCTTTTTTTCTTTTTTTACTCCTAGTGCTTTCCAACGATGGCTTCTCCACAGTGACCGAGGTCCTAATTCTGATGCATCTTTTTTCTCCCCTCTCTTAGCATTTCATAATCACATTTTT